GACTTTCTAGGAACTGGAGTGTTCGTTTATCTTGCAAAAATAAATAGTATCTGTTTGTAGCCAATACTCATGATCACCCGGTCATGCATCTTATACCCTTACAGCTTCCCCGAGTGGGGAAGAAAAACCAGGGAAGATTGGGGTTCCGAAAGGTGATTCCCCAGCCCTGGGATTTCCAGTAACAGCCAGCCTGCACTGGCCCTTGGCGCTCCTCTCGTGAGTTTGACCTCTCCTCTTTCCCCAGAGAGCTCCTGTGAGAATAAGCGGGTGGACCTGGTCTTCATCATCGACAGCTCCCGCAGCGTCAACACCCATGACTATGCCAAGGTCAAGGAGTTCATTGTGGACATCTTGCAGTTCTTGGACATTGGCCCTGACGTCACCCGGGTGGGTCTGCTGCAGTATGGCAGCACTATCAAGAACGAGTTCTCCCTCAAGACCTTCAAGAGGAGGTCTGAAGTGGAGCGCGCCGTCAAGAGGATGAGGCACTTGTCCACGGGCACCATGACGGGGCTGGCCATCCAGTATGCCCTGAACATTGCGTTCTCAGAAGCAGAGGGGGCCCGGCCCCTGAGGGAGAATGTGCTGCGGGTCATAATGATCGTGACCGACGGGAGGCCGCAGGACTCCGTGGCCGAGGTGGCTGCAAAGGCGCGGGACACCGGCATCCTGATCTTTGCCATCGGTGTGGGCCAGGTGGACCTCAACACACTGAAGGCCATCGGGAGTGAGCCACATGAGGACCACGTCTTCCTAGTGGCCAACTTCAGCCAGATGGAGTCACTGACATCCGTGTTCCAGAACAAGTTGTGCAGTAAGTCCTGCTCGTCTGTGGCTCTTTCAGGGGGAATCATTAGGATCTCGTCTTTCATCTTCCAGTGTAGATTCTGTGCTACCTCGTCCCAGGTACTGCCCTGGTAAGGGTGTTCGGCAAAGGCCAGGACAGACACAGCGTTCTCTTGGGGTTACACGCTGGCCAAGGAGACAGATAGTAAGGATATAATGACACAGACACGTAAGTAACTGCCGTTTTAACAGTGGCATGGAGGAAGAATTCAGGGCAGGACCTAACCTTGGCCAGGGTGCTCAGGGAGAATTCCCTGGGAAAAGGACGGTCAAACCCAAGCTGCTGAATGAGTACGAGTAGATAGGTAAAGTTTTTCTCCAGCACGTTGGACTGCCCTGGCATTCCCTAAGTTAGAGTTCAGATGGACTTGGAGTAAAGATGGGAACCGGAGGGCAAAAAAAAAAAAAAAAATACCATAATGTCTCCTTGGATGGGGTCGAATACCAAGCAGTATTGCCCCACAGTGATACGAGTGGTGGAGGTTTTCTCCTCAGAGCGGCCCAGTGCACAGGGAGGACGGAGCTGCGGTCCCCTCCTTCTGCAAGGGGGATGCCTCCCCACGTCCTTGAGCCGCTTCTGCTGCGGGCTCTTCCGCCCTCTCTTGCTTTCCAACCCTACTCTCCACAAGGTTTTGCTCTCCTTCCTTGCTGGACGGCTCTCAGTGACCTGCGCCCGGAGCTTCTGCCTCAGCTTTTCCCTGTGGGCCAACTTGCCCTCCTTCCAGTTGCCTGCTTCTGCCCCTGGCTTCCTGTCCTTTCCTCCTCCAGGAGGGCAGAGGCCCAGGCGGCACACCCAGTCTCCTCACTAGTCCCTGGAAACTGGAAACGTGCCTCCTGGCCTGGTAAACTGTCCAGTCCTGCCTTGCCCACCTCCATTTGTCCCTGTCCCCTCCAACTGCCATGCTTCTTTGATGGGAAAGCAAAAGGAAATGTCTATTTTGAAAGGACTAGTGTTCCCCAGGAGTATCTGTGGAGAATGCGCTTAAGGACTAGATTCATCTCCAGCTCCTCTGGAGCAGGACCCTGGCCCTCTGGGGACTCTGAAGACTCTGACCCTGTTCTCAGACTCTGACACAGCCTAAGGACCCCCGTTCCCCTGACCAAAGCCTCAGGGAGGAAAAACTGCGTTTTGCTGTGTCTTAAAAAAAAAAAAAAAAAAATTCCCTGAGAACTAACATCAAAAAGCAGAGACTCCATTGTTTCTTGATTCCCAAATCAAAAGATTTACTTAGAAAAATAAATAAATAAATAAAACCAATGCTCTGAAGGCAAAAGAACTTTTTTCTCTGCAGTGTCACTTGGAGAATTTTCAAAAGTGCCATTAGGCCCGGGCGCTGCAGAAGGGCGGTCCTCTGGCCAAGAGTCACCCCGTTGACTTCAGCCAGTAGAATGCTCTGCAAACATGTTAAGGTTTATGACTTTAAATGACTTCTGCAGAATTTATGTTCCCTTTTCCTGGAAATATTAAAACAGAAACTGGTTCCGTAACCGTTTTGATGGGTTTATTCATTTGTCTCGGAAAATGTCAATGGAGGCGTTCTTTCAGAAGCGCTCTGGACTGATCGGCAAATGGAAAGACAGGATGAGGCGGAGGCTGTGTGCTTGTCTGAAGAACCTTCCATGTGTGCTTTATGGTCAGGCAGCAAAATTAAAAGGCCTTTTCGATCCTCCTCTCCACACTTTGTAGTCATCCCGAAGCTCTAAGAAAATACCAGTATTATGCCATTCGTTGGTTTGTGTGGCCTGAGAGCAGAATCCCCCTGCCCGCCCGCCCCGCAGGAGACCAGCTCCGCTCCCACCGCATCGCGGGTGTCTGCAGACCCGCCAACCCTCTTAAAGGGTTGAGGAGGCCCCGGGGCCTCTTTATCAACCGTGCAGTAAAGAATGCAATAACTAGTATTGGTAAAGCACTCGCCTTCTGTTCTTGTATTGAATCCTCACGAAAATCTGGGGAAGGCAACACAACAGCATCCCTGCCCCTTTGCACCTTCATAAACTGCTCAAGTGAATTGACCGAGAACAAACAGCCAGGCGTCGGTGGGTTCTGCTTCCAAAGTTCTGGCTCACTTCACTCCTCCGCACGTCGGGGGTGCTAAATTCCTCTTTTAAGGTAAACCATTTTCTGATGCCCTCCCCGACTCAGCCACGCTAGGTAAATCAGCTTTGAGGTTGGCATTCGTCTCAGAATTTGACCGGGAGCCTTTGTAGGATTGGCTGGGGGTGGGGGGTGGCGGGAAGGAGACTCAAAGCTCAGCGTCGCCCCCTGCCGGCTGTACGGTACTTTGCAAATCTGTAAAATGGGGATTTTACCTCCAGACTCCATGTGTGAACGGGCGTTATCAACTGTAGGGCTCTATTCAGTGTGCACCGTGTTGTGTGTGATTGCAGTCAGCTACACGGAGGACCAGCAGGCGAGGCAGATGGCCTCAGTTTTGATCTGCACTCCAATTATCAGACATCAGCAATGAGCGTCTTCCAAGTTCCAGGCATCTGTGAGGTTTTGGAAGTTTCATTTGTTCCTTAAACATCAGTTGAACTACACTCTGAGAATAACAGCTAATTTTGTCCTGGGCTAGGCACTTTCCATTTGTCCTTTCATTTAATACTTGTAACAGGCTTATGAGGCAGGTGCTGTTATTATTCCCATTTTACAGAAGTGGAAACTGAGGCTTAGAAAGGATAAGCAACTTCAAATAGCAGGGTTGGAGATTCAGATTGCAGGCTCTCTGGCCCAAGCTCTTACCCTCCAGGTGCCAGGCCCGAGGGTTTCAGGCTGGTGGGAAGATGCTCTCATCATAGAAAAATGGGATGGCAGCTATCCAAAATGTGCACTTTGGAAAGTCACCTGGCACTGAGGGACCTCTGATCAGAGAACACCTGGGTCTCTCTAGGGGCTCCAGGAGGGCTTTAGAAAGGAGAGGATAATAATAATCATTACCATTTACCATATCAATATATAATATATATCATAATACTAATGTGCTGGTTTGAGCTATTAGCATATGTTAACTTATTTTATTCACACAATAAATCTGTGAAGTAAGTGCTCTTACAACTCTCATTTTACAGAAGAGGAAATTGAGACCCAGAGAGGTTCAATGACTTGTCCAAGGTCACACAGCACTGTGGTAGAGTTGAGATGTAAGCCCAGGCATTCTGGCTCAGAGCCTACATCTTGATCGCTATGTGCTACATACACTTGACAGATGAGTAGGAGTTTCCTGGCTACTTGGGGAGGTGGGGTTGCGCCACGGGCAAGAAGCCTGGAAAGGAAAGATATTTTCGATTGATTTTTCTATGTCATTGAAACAATAACAACAGCAGCAAAGAACTAGTCCAGATTCTCTCTTAGTTGTAACCTGCTAAGGAGACATGACCCACAGTTTGAAAAATGCAGACGAAGGGGTAGGCAGGGAAGGGGAGGCCATGGTACAGCTAAGGAGAGGATTTCAGAGGGAAGAAGGACTGAGGCTCTGTGCTTCCAGCAGAGCTGAAAAACGCTGCTGGATCTGTGGATCGGAGGAGACAGGCAGTCTTTCTGTGTGATCAAAGCAGGAAACTTTATTGTAAAACTAGGAAGAGTTCAGGCTCTGGAGCCAGACTGCCCTTGAGTGGGAGACCTGGTTCTGGCTCTCACTGGCTGTGTGGACGTGAACTTGGGCACAGCGGTGGCTTTATATCCATGGGCAGTAAATTCCCACACCAGCCACAGCAAGGGGGAGAATGCTGAGGTTGCATTCTCAGGCCACCCCTGAGAGCACCAGAGAGACTTGGAAACAAGGTATCCTGTGAATTGAGGCCCTGTCTACAAGATGACCAAAACCTACACATCCTGGGGCCTACCATTTTTGCCACCCAGGGAGAGAGGACACTGAATCTAGGGACTGACAAACACAGGTCTATCCTGAGCTTTCTGATGACTCACCGTAATCTGGGCAGGGCTGCTTTTAACTAACCTCTTGCTATCTGTTTGATCAGCCAAGCCTGGTATTTGGGGCCTGGAGGCTGGTGGTTCCTACCCTAATAGCCCCACCCCACCCAGGTCAGGCACAAATTAAGGCTCTAATAGTGTTCCTAAGACACACCTTTCATGACACCTGGGCAAAATCTACACTTATTAGAGCCCTTTGGGGCTCTGGTGTTAAGTGGGAGACAAGACTGCTTCAACAAAGGTGTAAGTGTTCCTCTCCAGACCCCTAGTCAGCCCTAGCATTCCTTTGATCATTTATGCATTTGTTAATAAGCATTTATGCACATTCCTATTTCCTAGTTTAAAAAAGCCCAATCCCGCCAATGACCTAGTCTGCTGATTAGAGATTCCTTCCTCAGAACACAAAGCCTTGACCCAGTTGCAGCCCATGAGGCCTTCTGGAGGCCAGTGGAGCGGGCAGGATGATCGCCCCCCCTTCAATCCCACCACAGAGGCCCGTCCCACGGGGCAGCTGATGTTCTTGGAAACACCAGTCAGGCATCCATAAAATTTTACAGATGGAAAATTTTCATTTTATCTTAGTAAAAATGGTGGGGATTCTTCTGCTTGAAAATACAGAAATTCAGTTTGAACCAGCTTTTGGGGTGGGGGAGCTTGTATTATATTACCTCATGGAAATCAGGAGAAGAGTAATGAATGACAGCCCCACTTTCTCTCTACCTTCTCCCTCTGCCTCCCCTTCCTCTCTGTTCCATGAGCAGAATGCATGCATCCTGTCAGCCCCCCACATGTACTAGCCCTCTGTTTAAGCCCCCTTTTCCTCAGTTCTAGCTCCCAGATGCCAAGAAAGGACTCTGATTGTCACACCCTGTGCCAGTCAGTGGCATCCAGGAGGGGGCTGCCTCATACCAACATGTCCCTGCAGTCCCCATGCATTTGAGGTGAGAAGGAAGAGCAGTTTCTAGAAAAGGGGGGACACCTAGACACCACTCATGCCTTTATTCCACAGGTAAACAAACAGGTCGAAAAGGGCTACCCAGCTTACCTGAACTCCCCTCCCTCATTTAGGCAGAGGGGAGCCAGAGCACAAGCCTGGCTTCGCACCCAGTGCACTTTCCACTATACCAAGTTACAGTCTCCTGCTTCCCATTCTTTTACAGCACGTGGCCAACACAAGCCTTAGTAACGAGCTGTCACTCCAAAACCCTCTGCAGTGGTTCTTGTAATTTCCCCATTTGACAGGTGAAGAAAGTGGAGTTTAGGGAAATTAAGTAATTCATCCAAAGTCATATCGAGTGGTGAGGCGGAGTGTTCAGGCAGTCTGCTTCTCGGGGCCACCTTCTTCACTCCGGTGCTGTCTGCTGTCAGTGGGTGTTTGCTCTGCCTCACGTCTCCCGTCCCCTTGCTTCATCTGCCAGGGTCCTGGTGAGAAGACGGGCGCCAGGCTCATCACCGGGGGCCTCGCACCAGCGGAAACCTGCTGTGTGGTTGGTTGCCTGGACTTGAGACTTCCTTCATTACGGAGGAGAGGGACACGCCGAGAGAGTTCCTCGGGAACGCCCCCATGCCTGCAGGTCACTGGGCTCCAGCAGTCCCGGATAGGAAGAAAGCCTTCCAGGGTGCAGGGCAAATGCAAATTAAAAACAGAATGATGATTTTCCACTCATGAGACTGTCAGAAACTTAACATTTTGATAATCCCGACTGCTGAAGCTTTGGGGGGCGTGGGAAATGTTACTCTCGTGCACTGCTGGTGTGAGCCACCTTGCAAGGCAATTAGGCCACATCTATTCAAACTAGGACCCAGTCCTAGCGAAACAACTGCTTGCACCTGTGCTTAAGGAGATGTGTTTGAGAATGGTCGTCACGGGCACCTGGGTGGCTCAGTCATTAAGCGTCTGCCTTCGGCTCAGGTCATGATCCCAGGGTCCTGCTTGTGTTCCCTCTCTCGCTGTCCCCCTATCTGTCAAACAAATAAATAAATAAAATTTATTTATTTGACAGAGAGATAGAGAGCACAAGTAGGCAGAGAGGCAGGCAGAGGGAGAGGGAGAAGCAGGCTCCCCGCCGAGCAGGGAGCCCGATGCGGGGCTCGACCCTAGGATACCGGGATCATGACCTGAGCCAAAGGCAGACGCTTAACAACTGAGCCACCCAGGCACCCCCAGTAGCTCAGTTTTCCTAAGCACTGGATTAGTGGGATTGTTCTTAGCTTTTGAAAGCCTCTTTTATTTTAGTTTCGTAAAAATATATTTCTACAGATGGACATCTTTTTTGTTTATGAGAACACTTGCATAACTTGTTCCCTGTTTATAATGATGCTTGTTAATTTTAAATATGTCCAAGTTGAATTATATTGAATAAAGTAATAAACTAAGATGTAAAAAAAAATGAGAATTTTTATGAGCTCCAGATAGACTTATGCAAGAATCGATGTCTCTGAAAGCCAAAGGACTTCAGAAACTAAATACAGAAATATTTTAAATTAAGATTAAATTAAAAGATTATGGAAACATGGAACTTCAGAATGCATTTTTTACTCCAAAATATTCTGCAAGACACTTTTGCATATTAAAAGATTGTTCTTGGGATTTATGGTCCTGAAAAACTGTTGACTCTTTACCACATCCTCATTTAACTAATAGCTTCTCCTCCAACCCCATTGCTGCTACTGAGAATCTACACATTAGCCAAAGCCCCCTCTGGTATCAGCAAACTTTCTGATTCCCCAGTTGAGCATTATTAATTGAACCGTGAAATGTCTGGTTTTTTGAGATCATTTTTGACCTGTTTTTATCAGCAATTTCATACGTCAACCTAGCATCATTTCCCTTTAACCCTCTGTGGCCCTTTATCTATATACTGCTGATGGCATTTATCTAGAATGGTCTTGTCCAACCAGCGGCTGTAAATCCCCTTGAGGGTAGGGACTGCAGTTTGTTTTCCTTTGGGTCCTGCTTTCTCCTTCACAGCAGGTTCTGAATACATGTGGGTGGATGAAGTCAGAGAAGGCGTCATCATTGCCTTAACTCACTGTATCTTCCTTTTCAGCGGTCCACATGTGCAGCATCCTGGAGCATCACTGTGCCCACTTCTGCATCAATACCCCTGGCTCGTACGTCTGCAGATGCAAACAAGGGTACATCCTCAACTCGGATCAGACGACTTGCAGAAGTAAGATTGCTTTGCTGATGTATCCGAACCATCCTCCTCTGCTCTCTCAAGGGCCTCTTGAATTCATCTGTGGCCCCTCACCCAACCAAGTCATCATCTCCCTAAGGAAAGAAAGGAGGCTTTATAACTCGGGTATCTTAGGCCGGCCTCCCCCACTCCCACCCCCCAAATCACAGTGCTTGGACCAGAGCCTGGCACATACTAGGCCAACAGGAAGAGTTTGGAAGATCGTTGGAGGCACCTTCTTAGAAAGAGCCTTTTTGAATTCATGTCTTTTACTTCCAAGCTGTTCTTTAAGGGGAACCACTGGAGAGCCTTTTCATCCACTGTCTCTATTAACTGTACCCTGAGGAATTGTCTCTCTATTTTATTCTCTTCTCTGAAGCATTGACTTGGGATGAGTTATGAACATTGGCTGGGAATGATTATTCTGTTCTGTTTAGAGGTGTGCAGGGATCTAGTAGCTTTGGTGAAGGACACTTTATAGGTCTCCTAAATAAAAAAGATCAAATAGATAAAATGCAAATAGAACTCACATTCTCTTTTTCTGGCCAAGCCCCAAAACGTACTAACAACGTACTGACATTTGAGCCAGCAAGCGGTAATCTGCCTCTTAGAGGAGAGAATTACCTCGATGGTGAGCATAGTGCCCACGTATATATATTTTTAAGTTGTAAGTAAAGCCACACTGTTCCAGCCCATAGACAACCAGGCTACCAAACCAGGCTTACTCAAGACGTGAGGAAGACCGGCCCATACGGAGGCAAATAAAACTCAGCTAATCTGACGCACAGTTCATGCAATGCATAATTATTACACCACATGGTAAGCAATTAAGCTTTAATGGAAAGCATTTGCACAAATGGCTGTAATTAGTATCACATTTATAGAGCCAAACCACATTTTCCTGTTTTCTTCTCACTTCATTTTCGGGGTTGAGAGTAGTTGGAAAGAGGCCTTCCTGTCCCCCAAGATTAGGTAACATCTGCTGGACTCCTCAGCTCTGTGGCCTGTGGATGCACCAAGCCCTCAGACTTGGTGAGTCTCTGGTGCTCTGTGTTCTTTGGCTCCTCTCAGACCACAGGATCCCAGATTTTTTAGTGCAGCCTGAATCATCCTGACCTTCTGCTTGAACCTCTGACCCTTCTTCAGTTTCCACAACGAAAATCACTCACACCAAATACCCATGGGCTTAATAGAATTCTCTGGAGAACCGGGGCAGCCCTGGCAAGGTCACCTCACCCACTGCTTGCTGCTCGGCAAACAACCTATAAACGTCTCTTTCCGACATCCCCCTACCTTTTTTGCGAGCTCTGCCCAACCTCTCTCCCAGCCTCTTCGGGAGCTCCCCCTCCCCAAGGGGTTTCTCTGAAGAATGCTCAGCCTTTTTGTACCCTGCTAACTCCCTTCTTGGCAGCACAAGAAATTCCTCCCCTTGTCTTCTGCCCCAGTCGCCTGCTGCAGTCGGGGCATCTGCTGACGTCCACTTTCCATGGGCTGGCTTAGTCAAGTCAGAGGAATTTGGAGACTAGCAAATAAAAAAGAAAAAGTTCTCCCCTCAGTGTCATGAGCAAGACCTACCTCGCACCAGGTTCTGTCAACCCCTGCCTGGTCCCACCTCAAGCCTTGAGGCCCCCGGCCCCCCACCTGCTGTGTTGGTCTGGCCTGGGCTCCCTCCCGTTCAGGGCTGCAGGTACAAAGAGCATGAAGTGGAAGCTGCCCGGGTTTCAGACAGACTGACCAGGTGGAGGGGCAAGGTGGTCCAGGGCAGCGGTTCTCCAGCTCCAGTAACTAAGAACCACTCAGGAAGCCGAGCCCCGGCTGTCACCCCCAGAGACTCAGAGTCAACAGGTCTGGGGGTGAGGGGCGCCCAGAAGTCTGCATTTCCCGTGAACTTCGGACGTGGATTGCTGCCACACTCAGATTCCCTGGCGTCAGGCAACAAGGGGGACCAGAGGGAAGGGCTTCGAGTTAGGGGAGAAGGGAAGGAGCTGGAGCCAGGGTTCTGCCATCCCAATCTGACCCAGCCCCTCCAGTCACCCTGAAGCAGTTCAACCACCTGCGCTCTCAGTATCAGACGTCGCTGAACTGGTACAGTCATAGAGAGCAGTTCTCTCTCTCTCTCTCAGACAAAGGTGGTAACTCTTTGGTGTGCATGTCTGAAACTGTAGATGGGCCAGACTTCGATTTCAATCCTGACATTGCTGCAGCTCTGCCTGTCTCTTCCTGAGCTGCTTATTTAAACTCTTTGACTCAACTTCCTCACCCATAAAATGGGAAAGCTGGTGACAAATTCATATCTGTCTTATCAATAAGTCCGTGTTAGCCTGTGGTTTTAGTCCGGTGGACAGTTAAAAGTTGTGCCAAGCGAAGGCTGGCACATTCCTCGACCTCTGTTTAGGAGCTGCTTGCAGGGACGTGTCCCTGCCAACATGGAGAGAGACTCAGTGGGCCTGGTGGGGAGTGAGACACAGCTCTTTCCATTTCTGAGCATGTAAGATGTGCCAGGCAGCGTGCAAACGACTGGAAATAAAATAGCGAATGAAACAGCAATGTTCGTTCTTCTTGGAGCTCACGTTCTTGCATGGGAGTAATTCAGATGACCAATATAATTGCAACCATGCAACTGGTGATTGCACCAAAGTGATTGCAGCCCATGTGAGTCCTGCATCGGGCTCAGCGTGCGCAGCACACAAGGTCAGGACGAACTGGAGTCAATTCCCTTATTAAGTGTTCACCATATGGGCGCCTGGGTGGCTCAGTTGGTTAAGCGACTGCCTTCGGCTCAGGTCATGATCCTGGAGTCCCGGGATCGAGTCCCGCATCGGGCTCCCTGCTCGGCAGGGAGTCTGCTTCTCCCTCTGACCCTCCTCCCTCTCATGCTCTCTGTCTCTCATTCTCTCTCTCTCAAATAAATAAATAAAATCTTAAAAAAAAAAAAAGCGTTCACCATGTGTTAGGAGCTCTTCTAGTGCTTTCTACGTGATATCTCATTTAAATCTGACAATGCCCTCTTAAAGTGGGTTTTATCATGCTCGTTTTACAGATAAGGAAAATAAGGTCCTCCCCAAAAAGTTCAGACAATTTACTCAAGATCATATGGCTAGTACTATGATCAAACCAGAATCCAAATCTTGTTCTGTAGGACTCCATATTCCTAGCTCTTACCCCCATTTGATACTGTCCCATGATCCCCCCCTTGAGGGCCCCCAGATGGCAGCAGGGCAACCCTGCAACCAGAGAAATTCCTCCAAGCCCAGGAGGACAGGCAGGTTCCAAGGCTCACTGATCCCAAGGGAGACTCAGAACTAATGCACCAAGACTAACATTCAAGTGATTACCATTCCCTCAAGTCCACTGCCAACCGCTATGACACTGTCATTCTACAGAATGACGTGAGAAGACTTCTTAGGCGATTGCCCTGAGATGAGCTTGCGCATGCGCGCACACACCCATACACACACCATATCCAGCGTTTTGTATTCATACTTGCCTGTGTGGAGGGAGGAGGCAGACACAGCCAATTCAGAGATTCTTCAAATGGAAATGGGCCTTAGTTATCAGACTTTTAGCTCTCTTCCCCACATCACCCAATAATTCTATTCCTTCCCAGTGTCCCAGATGAATGATATTGCATGTCCGTTCACTACCTGGGACACCAGGCTTTTGCCCCACACCTCCATCCCACCTCCAGATAGTGTGGACTAAGCTGAAATCCTACTCTCTATAATTCCCAACTTTGATACTATTTCTGTCAGCTAAAGCTATATACCAGAGGGTGTATTTCCTTTTTCAAATAAAAAGAGAAAACTCTTTGATTATTGAGGAGTGTTATCCCCCTATCCCTCATTAATTTTCTCCTTTTCAGGGGAAGCATAAACACATCTTTAAGTAAATGGATTTGGGGTCTCTTCACTGTCCAAATAATCCTCTTCTGGACACTAGTTGGTCAGTGTCTCAAAATGTGCCCCTCCATTCAAAGACTAGATCAAGCATATTAAATAAATATTACCCTCAAAATTCTGCCCATATGAGCAATTTGGAATGTACTGGAAGTCAACATTGTGGATTCTTCTGTCCTCCAAAAAGTCTTTCCCACCCAATACCAATATATGAAATAAATGCAAAAGTGTTAGCATAGTACCTAGCACATAGGGCTCAATAAAAGTTCATGTCCTTGGGAGTATCATGGGGCACCTGGGTGGCTCAGTCAGTTAAGCCTCTACCTTCGGCTCAGGTCATGATCTCAGGGTCCTGGGATCGAGTCCTGCATCGGGCTCCCAGCTTAGTGGAGAGCCTGCTCTCCCTCTCCCTCTCCCTCTGAAGCTCCCCCTGCTTGTGCTCTCTCTCTCTCTCTGTCAAATAAATAAAATCTTTAAAAGAATTAAAAAAAAGAAGTTTATGTCCTTCCCTCACCCCATTAAAAAAAAATGGGAAAAACCTCCATAAAGTATGCCTGTCTTCATGTTTTCCCCTACCAATCCCACTCCCTTTGAATTGCTTTCCCAAACTTTATCTTCTTTCCTTTTCTTTATTTATATTTTTAAATAAGGAATTCTCCTTCCCTTCTTGAATATTTAATCTATCTGGAAAAAATATTGAAAGCACAACATTTAGAAAATTTCACTTGGCAAAAAATTGTAAACTTTCTTATCCAGCTTTCTCATTTTTTCTCTTTCTCAAGAACCATACCAAATGCATTTTATTGCTTTCATTCTTCAGATATGTTCCTGACATTATTTTTTCCAAGCTACAGAAATGATTTAGTAGCTTTTATTTTACAGTTTAATCAAGGGGCATGATCCAGAAAAAACGGTCATATTGTTAAAGAGAGAAAAGAAAATTATAACCAACATCCCTCCTGATGAATTTAGATGCAACGATTCTTAAAAACCTACCAAATAGAATCCATATTTATATACTCTAATCAAGACCAAATGAGGTTTATCCCAAGGATGCAAGTTTGCTTTAACATAATTCACCACATTAACAGATTAAAAAATGAAAAACTATATCATCATTTCATAGATGCAGAAAAGGTATTGAACATTCATTCATGATAAAAACTCTCAGCAAACTAGCAATAAAAGGGAAATTTCTCAACCTGATTAAAGGTATCTATGAAAAAACCTACGGTTAACATCATACTCAAGAGTGAAAGATAAATCCTTTCCTCCTAAGAGAAGGAACGAGACAGTATGTTCATTCTCACCACTTCTCAGCATTGTACTGGAGGTTCTAACTGATAAAATAATAAAATAAAAAGAAATTAGAAAGTCATACAGATTGGAAAGAAAGAAGTGAAATTGTCTTTATTCACAGACTAT